TTGTTGTTTACCGGAAAAGATCCAGTTTAACGTTTCACGTTTGGAAAACTGCAGAAAGGTAAGGGTGGAGATATATGTCTTTTAAATAAATGTAAGACATTTATTGCATGTTGTATGGTATTTAATAGGAATTATTTTTTTTCTCTGGGATTCTTTGGAAAACATGCATGTGCTCACTTTGAGTATGTCGTATTCTGTGTATGAAAAATGGAGATCAACAAATAACTATTCTCATCGAAAGCCAAAAAAAATTATTGCTTATTGTAAATATTGCTTTAAAGTAAGTATTACTTTTGGCTGCTCTCAGATACTCAGGCAGACTGAAAGCTGTCCACCAAAAAGTTTCATTCTGTGCTGTGATGCATGGATTACATAGCTGAAGTTCTGACAGATAGTTATGGTTGACAGACAATCAGACAAGTAGGCTAGCAGAACAACAGAAAAAGCTGTAAACAGGTGGAGTAACATTAAAGTCACCATGAGTTCTGAATCAATTGCAGATGATTCATTGTTTGTTTTATTTTTGAGTACACTAGTTTGCTGGACATAAGAGCTCAAAAAACCTACTATTGTGAACCTAAAGTGACATCTGCAGTTGAAAAATCATTTTAATTGCAGAAAAACACTCAGATTAAAGGCTGAACTTTGTGGCTCAGTTTGTCTCACATACAATTTTTTTTCCTTTTTTTGTAGTCTGTGACTGTGTTTGATAAAAGAGACTGAGGTTAAATTAAAAACTAAAAATGTACTTTCTTTTTTCTTCTGTCTCCTGGCTGCAGGATGTCCTGTAATTCCAGTGTTATTCGACTTTGTGCATCATCAGTGGGACAGGCACCCCAAGCTCCAGTCCACCTCATGCCATGTGAGATTGAACACAATGGGCCAGCACAGGTCAACCAATACTTCACTGCTACCACCAAAGACCAGAAACAAGGTAAACACAAAATCTTTTGATATCTGCTAATATGGATTAATCCACAGTGGACAGATAAAAATGTAGAGATAAAAGATCACTAAATGTGTAAATAAAGCAAACAGTTGCCAGTATCCTGGTTTTAAACTGTTTTTGCAGCTTTTTTAATAACTGCTGTTTCTGATATGATTAATTTATTTTGGGGGTAAAAGTGGAATGGTTTTTAAGAATTCTTGGGAATTTTTAGTTAAAGTGAGTTGCTATTTAACACTTAAGTAAGTAATGAAAATGTAGCTTTATTGTCCTTTTTGAGACAGAAAACACTAACAAAGCGCAAAAACCAGCATATGCTAAAGCAAAGTGGACACATATGAACACTACCTGAATGTCTGTCTGAACAGATGAGTTTTAAGCTTCATTATAATGGATGCCACAGAATCAAGGGTGTGTGTAAAAAGTGGTAAACTATTCCCTAGTTTTGGAGGTTTGGAAGTCACTATCATATTTAGTTTTCAAATGGGTTTGCAGAATCACAAGAAGACCCCTACCTAAGGACTTGAGAACACAAGTGGAGTAGTTTGACAAAATATGTGGGGGCCTCAACCTGTAAGGCCATAAAAGTGAGAACCAAGATTTTAAACAATTCAAAAACTTTAAAAGTGGGATGTTATGCGAAGACTTATGAGAGTGAGTTAAAGCCTTACAGGATCAGTTTAGACAGACTGGAGGCGACAAGTAGGTGCTTTAGGAAAGAAAACTGCGCATTACACAGCACACATCAAGAATCCTCAATGCTTTGTTTTGTTTTTTCCTTTCACATTGCAGATAAGTCAGTGTCATTCAGGGGACGTGGGTTAAAGGGGCAGGAGATCAGCTGTCCGCAGGGCTACACAGGGCTGGTACTGAAAGAGATCAACAAACCCGGCTCAGACCAGGAGGTAAATACCACTGGAGATGTGGGTCCAAGCACTAACTATTTCATAAAATCAGATGCGTAGATGAGGTTTTTGTAACTTGTGTTTATGTGTGTTTTCAGGACAGGACAGTGAAAGTATCCTCTGTATTTGACAAAATGACCTACTGGAACCTGGAAACACCTCCTAATTCAGATGATACTATTGTGATGGCAATGGATTGGCCTGATTTGGCTGAGGCAGTGAGTTGTTTTTTTTCCCCTCTTGGATCCATTAATCCAAGATCAAACCAATCTTTGTTTCCTAGTAATTAATATTTATTACATTTAACATAAATAATGTGGGTTTTTTTGGTGAAATATGACCCAAACAAGCTTGGGATACCCTTGGCTGTATTTTGGAGCAGGTTCATATACTATTCAGTCACCTTTAATCACATCCTACAAGAAATTAAGCATGTAATACCAGTTGTTGCTTGAAGCTGCTGTTCTGAGTTAATTACCAGTTATTTCCTGGATCTATATTACATTTCCATCTGTGGCTATTCAGAACATGTTCACCGGGTTTCATAAATATCAATCTGGACGTTTTCTTGTAAACTCAAATTGCAGTTGAGGCTCATTCTCTTTGGTGGAGGAACTGTGTTTAATTCAACTGATGAAAATGCAAAAGACACAGACAGAAATATTTTCAGATATTTGCAGGTTTGTCCTGATATTTTGTCTCTTCACAGATCCACGCTCCAGTAGAAGACTGAAGAGGCTGCCTGATATCTCCTCAGCATTTTACATATGAAATGCGCCGCTTGCTGGTTATTCATGATAAGTGGTGGAAAGGCTTAAGAAATATTTTCAGTAAGTGTTGCTTTTGCAGAGCAATAACCTTTGTATATATCTTTAATGACATGTTTTTTTCTAGTGAACAAAAAAAAATAAAATAAAAGTCACTGACCAAAGTGTGCAATGTTTTATTCACTGAAAAAATTACCATGTTCATGTGGCACGTTCTACTCAACACTGTTTATTCACAAGGGCACATTTAGATTCTGTAGACTGGCTACTATAAAACCCTCTAATATGTATTAACTGCAATTATGATATGATTACGGTATGGTAATAACGACACACAGCAGCTGTCACACAAATACACTTAAGGTGGTGCAGAATGAAAGAGTGTTTAACATTAACTTAAAGTTTAAACAGAAGGCAGAAAACCGCATGTGTTCAAGTGTGTCGATACTGTGGTGGTTCTCAGTCATGGTAGTTTCAAGTGCTTGAAAACTATTCATTGCAAATGCGTGAATGACCCTCATGTCCACCTCCAAGGATACAGTCCCCACTAAGACAGTCAATCAGCTGTCTCAGACAGCTGATGAAGCCTCTTGGATGAGAGGCAAGAAGAACATAAAGAAGTCCAGCTGCCTTCTTTTCAAGCACTTGAGACGATATGCTGTTCTGTCAGATTACAGAAGTAAAACTGGTATGAGAATTAATCAACCTGTTAGCTAATCAAGAAATGTTGGCCAGGAGCGTTCAGGGTTTTGTCTCCTTGACAACATTTGATTGTATCTGATGAACAATGTCAAACAAAGTCTGAAATGTGTGGTGATAAGACGCAGAAGTTACGACCGGACATGCACAGAGCTGAGAGTATAACTTGCAGTAAACTACAATGTAAAATCCAATCCTGTGCAGGTCACTGGAAATAAAAAAGTTAATTTAACACCTTTATCCATTTCTATTATTTTCAGATGCAACTTCAGTATTTCTGGATCAGTTACTTTATGTTCCTCATTTGACACTTACTGCATTAGAGATAAAGAGGAAGGAAATGAAAACAAGAGAAAGAAACGAGGCAGGTATTGACAAAGTGACTTCAAAACAGTTCGAGCTCACATTAGGTGCTATAAAATGGCACAAAAATCAACTGTTTCTGGCACTGAAAGAGCAGTCATACAAATTTAACAAATAAAAAAATAAAACCTTTGTGTTTGTTTTGAGTTAATACAGCATAAGTGGTATAAGCATGTCACATGACTAATATTTTTAGACATCTTTTTCATCTCTTCTGATAATTTTAACAAACATACATCTTTGATGCAACAATGATGAAGATATTTAAAATTACAAACTTGGGTGCAAAGTGTCACTTAATATTACAAAGGGTACACAATAGTACAGCTATCAAATCTGTTCCAGGGCTCCAGTAGACAACAGTGAACATTAAACAGATTAGATTTGTGAATGAAAGAAGTACCAATATGTGTGGATAAGATTGGGATCAAATTTCCAAAAAAAAAAGGAAAGTTGGGGTATCTGTGAGAGATATAAAAGTCAGTCAGTGGCAGGGGTGGGAAATTTTCTCTCAGCCACTCAAACATTTAACCAGCCACGATTTTTATTTTTTGTGTGTAACATTTGCCTTGTTACACATGTGTGTAACATTTGCAATGTTGCGTTACATTTACTCCAGAAATATAACGCCACATTGCAAATGTTACTGATCGATTTTTCCTCCCTCATCTAGATCCCCCTTTTCCATTAGTACCTACTCGGATTGATTCGCCACGGGACTCAACTCAGATCGACTGGTTTTCCATTACAAATCAGTACTACCTAACCTGCGTGGTTGTCATCACAGCAATGTGTCAGAAAACCCTGCAACTTTATTAATATGCGACATGAACACTACAAAAAAAGGTGGACGTTGAGGCAAGAATATACCTGCTGCTCAGTCTGTGGCTTTTCGTCAGACTTGGGGACCACAGAGTTGTTTTTGTAGCCATTTCCCCTGCTGCTGGGTTTCGAAAATGGTGGTTTCAATTTTCGCGAACGCGACGCTCTTATGACTCATTGAGTGACGCTACCGACAAACGTCACATTTTAGTACCTGCTCAGATCGCATAATGGCATTTACAGCAGACTAGCAGCAATTCAGATGCATTGTTGCCCGCGAAACGTCAGTAGTGCAAATTGATTGTAGTTTTTTCTGTTCAAATTTAAACCCGCAACGGTGGCTTGTGCATTGTTCAAATTTACACACCACTTCATAAATTTACAGACATTTGGCCAGTGTCGGGTCCTAATTTCCACCACTGGCCAGTGGGTAAACTGAGCTCTAAAGTTCGAGTTAACACGTGAGACATACAGAGGTAACTGCGTGGTAAGTTTAAAAGGGTGCTTTAGAGAACTTTTAACTATCGGATTTCAATTTTAACTCTATTAATATTTTAAAAGTAAGCAGAATCAAGTATGAATGCAAGTTAGACAGGCAACTGCGGAGGTAAGAACTGATTTGGGTAATGTGAGTTAAAAAAAAGAATCCAAAACAGATTAGGTCTTGATGGATGCTCAATCATCCAGGTAAGTAAATCCCAAAAGGTTAATTCTCTTCATCTGAACGTAGCGTTTTCAATGGGAGAAACGTTTTGTCACTCATCCAAGTGACTTCTTCAGTCCTAGCTGACTTACAATGCTTCTAGATGAGAATACTCTTAAAAAGGTGCTTGAATTCACTGAGAAGGCTCGTCTAGCACAGCATGAGAAGTCTAAGATCAGACAACAAAGGAAGTTTGACTTACTTGTTATGCGTCGGAAACGACAGCAAAATACAGAGAGTGTCCCCAGCAGCCAGAAGAGAGAAGAATTCCACAACAAAGATGTGGACAAGTGGGTGAAAAATTTGTCTGACAGACAACTCACCCAACCAGAGAAAAACATCCTTGCAAAAGGTTTGAACTTTGCTGTGACGCCGAGACAAATCCCACTAGTGGAACTGATCACAGCCACAGAAACAGCAATTCGACAACAACAAAATTGCAGACTTGGAAGCAGAACAACTACAGAGTTCCAGCCTGTCTCAGCAATGCAAAGCCCCCAGCATCTAACATCAGCATGGAGGAGAGGAAGGCACTCACATCACTTAGTAATGACAATAACATTATCATCTTTCCAGCAGATGAGGGTAGGTGCACGGTCTTGCTAAACTAGAAAGACTATCATGAGAACATGCTGTCACTGCTCAGTGACAAAAATACTTATGAACCCCTCAAACGAGACCCAGGAAGTGGCTACAGGAAGAGGGTGGTAGATTGTCTGAAGCAGTTAGAACAAGACAACGCTATTGACCGGACTTCATATGACAAGCTATAGGGGAATCAACACCAAGTCTTTACGGTTTGCCGAAGACACATAAACAGGGGGCACCTTCAAGACCAATTGTCTGTATGATCAACTCACCCATTGGTAGACAGCTCTAAACACCGCATCCAGAACACCTTGGATTTTGTTGATAAGGTGAGGTATGTCATTATGGAGTTCACCAGGGAGGATACAAAAACTGACAGGTTAGCCTTCTTAGACTGTGAGATTTCCATCAGTAATGGGGGACATTTAAAAGCTAATGTGTACCGTAAACCTACGCATACAGATCAGTATTTAAGGTTTGACTCTCATCATCCACTGGAGCACAAACTTGGTGTCATCAGGATGCCTCAACATAGAGTGAACACCATCCCCACAGACAAAGCGCCAGGGAAGCAGAAGAACATCACGTCAAGAAGGCCCTGAGCTAATGTGGTTATCCCAGCTGGACATTTGTCAAAACTGGGAAGGTGCCTAAAGAAAGCTCCAGCTGATCCAGGAGAGAAGGACATCTGCTGCCTAAGCGAAAGCCCATAGTAGTGCCTTATATGTCAGGAGTATCATTTTCTAAACACTGAATCTCTGTGGCTTTTAAATCCCAAAAACATGCTGCGTCAAAAATAGGTCCATCCTAAGGATAGGGTCCCCCTACATAAACAGAGTAATATAATATAATGTAGTGGATGGCACAACACAGAAGTGCTAACTTGTCAGGCCAGGACTCCACAGTCTATTTACACCTACAGGCCACTGGACACTCTTTCAATGATGAGGATGTACACATCCTGGACAGGGAGGAACGCTGGTTTGAGTGGGGAGTCAAGAAGGCCATTTAGGTGAAAAGGGAAAGACCATCTCTGAATCGAGGAGGGGGCCAGCGGTACATCTTTCGTGATCTCACAATGCAGCCATTCCCCAACTCTGTGAACGGTACTGGCCATTGATCAGTGGTCTTTGATCAGTGGATGTTGATCAATGGTCAGGACAATTTGCATATTAATAATCAAGGAAGTGACCTTACAACCCATTGCTCATTCAGTGAGCTTGTTCTGTTATTGTGCAATGTATAATGTACTGTTTACAAGGTTGGGGAAACCTGCAGTCAGCTGAGACTGAAGAAGATAATCGGTGAGTGACGAAACGATTCTCCCATTGAAAATGCTACATCCAGATGAACAGAACCAACCTTCTGGGGTAAAACAGGATATATGTCTAGGATTATCTGAAACAAAAGTTCATAAATTGAGGAAATAATTAGCTAGATAGAGATTGATTGGACGATGGGAGATTGGATAATATGTGCAGCAGGCTAAGCGTAATTTATGGTCCCAAAAATGTGTTTGTCTGCGTACATCTTTCCATTCGGGGTGAAAAATACAGAACAGGCAGTGGCTGCAGTTGACAACTTTTTACTGTTTTAACACTCTGCTTCACTTCAGCTCTTTTGTATGTTATATATGCTGTATGTATGCTGATGGATCAACAACAGCACAAGCAAAAGTGTCTCACAGACCGGTTGCACCACATACTTTGTACACTGCCTCCATATGACAACGGAGCTCTCTGCAGGTATACGGGCAACGCCTAAACTGCCAGCGGACAGCAAACACACTCTCTTTGTTGGACCATAAACTCAGCTTTAGAGTGATTAAGGACAAAGAGAGATGGAAACATACTGATGAATGAAACATGTGGTGAGCAGATGGAAGGAGTACTGTAAGAAGCTGATGAATTAAAAAATCAAAGAAGAGGACAGACAAAAGATAGTGAATCAGGAAATGTAGAGGATTAGTAAGGAGGAAGTGAAGGCAGCTATGAAGAGAATAAAGAGAGGAAAGGTGGTTGGTCCAGATTACATACCAAACAGTATGGTCTTTGAGAAAATGTACATACTGTACATTTTGTTGTGGAAGCGAAAGGTATCTGTGTTAGCTAAGAGGTGGAGGTGGTGGTGGCTGCGCTGGCAGAGAGGACTCTGTGTCTGCTTTGCTGCGTTTGGCTGGTAGCGTGAGGTCATGTGCTTTGCGAATGTGTCGGTACAGATCGCCCGATTGTGTGTAGCTTCGGTAGCAGTAGCGACACTCATACGGCCGCTCCCGTGTGTGCACAATGGCGTGGCGTCTCAGGGTGTAGGTGCACGAGAAAGTTTTTCCACAGACACCACACGTTGGTACGTCCTCTACGAAGTTTCCTACAGAGTCCTGGAGCTCCTGGAAGTATGCAACAGGGTCGGAATGCTGCTGAGATGTGGATGGAGGAATGAGGGATGCAGTGAAGTTAGAAGCATCGTGGGAGGAAGGTCCAGCCCCAGAGGAGGAGGAGGAGGGAGAGAGGGGGAAGGAGTAATCATTTATTTGGGAGGTCAATTGTAAGAAGCCCTGTGGGTGAGAAGAGAGAAACTGAGGGCTGTTCAGATCTTCTTCCTGGATGTCATCTTCAAAGTCATCATCAACTTCCATCACGGGTTCTCTCTCTCTGCTTTCCTCTTTCTCCTCCTCTAGCTCTTCATCTGATATAACAATGGCCTCCACTTTGACTTTCACATTCTCTCCATCATTGCCTCTCCTATCTGTCCCCATTAGAGGGTGATTTTTAGTATTAGATGAAGCTCCAGTGCTCCCCTCAGGTCCTTTAAGCATTTGTCTCTGAGGAGGAGGAGGAGGAGCAGCAGCGAGGGATTCTGAGCTCTGGGTTTGAAGCGATATGGCACTCTGAATTTGGATCTGTGGAGGCGCACGCCGGGACAGCGTCTTTGGTGCGCTTAATTGTAAATGTGAGGTCAGAGCTGATGCTTGGATCAACATAACCATCTGCTGTCCTTTGCCTAATGTACTTCTGTCATCAGTCACTGAGGGTTCCCCTAAAGAGCCATTGCGTGGGAGTTGCGGTTTATCAGGATGTGCACTGGATTCTGACTGGGGAAGAGCAACCAGTGAGCGACCAGCAGCCTGGCTCACTGGGACTAGAGAAGAAGAAGATGAGGAGGAAGGCTGCTGGTTACTGCTGAAAAATAAAAAGGAAGATACAAAGCCTTTTAATAACAAGAAATAAGAATGTTCAATTTCTTATGGTTTAATCTAAATAATGATCATATGTCCTCTCAGAGAAGGCTGTATTGAAATCAGATTTTACTTTACTTCTCCTGTTGTTTTTATATATATATATATATATATATTTATATATATATATGTATGTATATATTAGGGGTGCAACGATATCGATATTGAAC